CTACTTGAAAAGCTTGGAGTGACGAGGGAAATAATCTTAGACCACACAGTTACAATGGGGGAGATCTTGCGAAATGAAACCCAGAAAAATGTCCAGAGTGCTTTTAAGAGTTCCCTCCAGTTTCTGGACGGTTATGTTTCATCTCATATGCAAACAAAAATGGCAAACCTGGTATAAACTTTTCCAGTTTGGAGACAGCATACAAACAAGCTGAAGGGGCTGGAGTGAGAGCATTGCTAGCTGCAGATGTGGGCGGAAAGCCTCGTGTTACAAAACAAGAAAAAATTATCACAGCTGTTTCCACTCGCCTAAAAGAATTGATTAAATAGATTTCCACACCAATAACACATCTTGAAGAATGGGTATTTGTTGTCAACCTCAATAGTGTATGTGAAATTATTCATATAATTTATGTTATTTGTTTCGAATAAAAAGAGAGATTTTAGTTTTGAGGCTTTCGCGGCCATTATTAATGACGTGGTTGGCTTCCGGATGGATTCCGCGTTGAGTTTCAGCATTGCGCCGACGTTTCGCAAACATTGCAGTCTGCATCTTCAGGGCTATGAGCTCCGATTCTGAGCTCCGATGTGTGGGGGCAGTCCTTATATACCTTCCCTTGTGGTGGTGGGAGAAGGGGAAGGGGGGGGGTCAGCCAATCATATGTTTTTAATTGATCAGCTGGTCAATTAAAAAACCGGGAGGACGGTTTTCCAAATGGGGTTCACTTGATATCCTCTGTCCCTGTTGAGGTTGTTAGGGTTTTTATGGATCTCCAAACCCTCTCGGTATTTCCTTTCGAAATACCCTTGAGACTTGGCCAGCATTTTGGCTTGGTCGTAGTGGATAGTATGTCCAGTATCCATCCAGTGTTCAGCCAGGGCAGACTGTTCTAAGTGACCGTATTTGGAGCACCGCTGGTGTTCTTTGATCCGTGTACTGATCTTCCTCCCGGTTTCTCCAATGTACACTTTCCCGCATGAGCAAGGGATCTCGTACACTCCTGGTGTACTCAAGGCTGGTCTTGGATCCTTCGCGCTCGGCAGCATCTGTCCGATCTTCTTTGGGGGTTGGAAGATCGTTCGGATGTTATGTTTACCGAGTACTCTGCTGATGCGTTCTGTTGTGCCTCTCAGATAGGGGAGGAGGGCCATTTTAGGTCTTTCCTGGTTTTCCTCAGGAACAGTCTCCTCTTGGAGAGATGAGAGCTTGCTCTGTGGATCTCCAAACCCTCTCGGTATTTCCTTTCGAAATACCCTTGAGACTTGGCCAGCATTTTGGCTTGGTCGTAGTAGATAGTATGTCCAGTATCCATCCAATGTTCAGCCAGGGCAGACTGTTCTAAGTGACCGTATTTGGAGCACATAAAAACCCTAACAACCTCAACAGGGACAGAGGATATCAAGTGAACCCCATTTGGAAAACCGTCCTCCCGGTTTTTTAATTGACCAGCTGATCAATTAAAAACATATGATTGGCTGACCCCCCCCCTTCCCCTTCTCCCACCACCACAAGGGAAGGTATATAAGGACTGCCCCCACACATCGGAGCTCAGAATCGGAGCTCATAGCCCTGAAGATGCAGACTGCAATGTTTGCGAAACGTCGGCGCAATGCTGAAACTCAACGCGGCATCCATCCGGAAGCCAACCACGTCAAAAAGAGAGATTTTTCAAAGATTTCCACCAAAAATCTGACAAACACTTTTTTGCTCTCCCTTTAATCTTGTAATTCCACATGAGAGAACCTCACAAAATTAATTATCCGAGTTTTTTCCAGCTACAATTGCACCTAACCTCACCGATTGACAATGAATGAGATTCGCCTGTCATCATAACCTGAGTATATTAATATACACTTGGAAATCGATTTATCCATAAAACTGTTGTTGTCATATAGTTTATGCGTTAACATTATTTATTTTACTATTATAAACATTTCATCCGATAAATTCGCGTTCATGTGTAGACACGTTCTCTAGTGTAGGTGAATCCGAAGTTGCCACATTTCCGGAACCCTCAGATTCAAACCATCCAATATGGCCGTCGGGCGAATCGAGAGATTTTTAATTCAATTGTTTTCGATTATTTCTTCGGAAACTTATATTTTTCACCATCTCAAAAAAAACTAAGATAGATAACAAACAAAGTTATATACAGTTAAATGTACGAACAAACGCTTTAAGACCCCCAATCATTCGATTGAAGATGCGAGTGGGGTGCTCTTATGGCTACCATGTGTTAAATTTCGATTTTCAAAAAATTTTTTCTTAAATAATTGTTCGGAAACTAAGTTCGCCATTGCGCTCAAAATTAACATTTAACCCTATTCTATGGATTCTGAAAAGGATTTCTGCCAACAAAAATTATTCGAAGTACTTTGATATCCTTAACAAAAAAAAACCATCTCCAATTCGAATCCAAAATTCCAGAAGCCTTTGACACCCTTAGTCCCCCCTGGTGCCCTACAAACCCAAAGTTCATCCCGGAATGTCAAGAAAACGAAATTCTAAATATTAATTTCAACTTTGTAGAATTTGATCAAGCTCTCAGAACTCGCAAGGCGAAATCATCGCATGGTCTAGATGGAATTGATTATGAAGTTATCCGAAAGTTACCAGTCCAATACCATCTAATCCTGCTGGACATTTTCAATCTCATGTTTACCAATTCTGCTTTTCCCGCCGCCTGAACATCCCAGTATATTCATTTCATTCCGAAACCGAATGGCCTTGATGTTAGGCGAATTGCCCTCTCAACGTGTCTTTGCAAACTATTCGAATCAATGGTTAAGAGTCGTATACAATGGTGGATAGAGTACAATAATATACTTCCTAACAGTCAAAGTGGCTTCAGGAATGGAAGATCGAGTTATAATAACCTGAGCAACATAGTACTGTACACAAATCATCATCTAACAAAAAATCGTGAGATAATAGCTGTTTTTCTAGATGTGAAATCTGCATTTGATAACGTAAATGTATCCCTGTTGGTAGAAAAAATGGCTAGCTTGGAATGTCCAGTCAATATTGTTAAGTTTATACATTTTCTTACATATGAGAGAAAAATTGTATCTCACTATAATGAATCTCCCAGAAAGGTTTTCAAAGGCGTCCCACAGGGAGGAGTGCTCTCCCCACTTCTTTACACCCTTTACGTGTACCAGATCACCCACGGTGTACACCATGACGTTCAAGACTCACAGTTTGGTGACGATCTGGCCTTGTACATCAGTTGTTCTTCTGTACCCAGAAGTATCAAAATTATAGAAGAATCTGTCAAAATTGTGGGTAAGAATTTGGAAAGACTCGGCCTGTCCCTTGCTCCCCACAAAACAGAACTTGTCCACTTTAATAAACGACGTACTCCCCCTAGAAATACCTCAATCACAGTAGGAGGTTGCACTATCAAGTGCAACACTCAAGTCAGATTCTTAGGATTAATATTGGATAAAAAATTAAATTTCAAGGCACAATTTGATAGAGTTCAGGCTCTGGCCTTGAAAGCTATGAGCATTATGAAATTTATACGTGGTACGTGGTGGGGGACTGAGCCCCAAACGCTTATGATCCTCTACAAAGCTTTTGTCAGATCGAATATCGAATACGGCTTATTCATCTATATTCCCTACAGGAAGACACACCTGGAAAAACTAGAGAAACTACAATGTGCAGCTATTCGTATCGCATTGGGATACAGGAATTCTACTCCTGTCGGAATTTTTCTGGCTGAAAGTAAAATTCCAACGATATATTCACGTGCTGTCTTCCTGTGTAAATATTATTTGATGAAAATCCTATCCCATTCAGATATCCAGGTTTCTAAGCTGATTAACAATCTGTATATTAGGGCTAATAGCGACATTCGAGCCAGACCCAGAGTCCTGAAGGAATGTATTGTTAGTATTAGACCAATGTTTGCGACTCTAAGTATTGATAATCATTACAATATTTATAAGAGAAACTATTCAACACTAATCGATACACTCCCACTTGACGAGGAGAATGGGCGTATCGCAAGAACGATCGCATGATGTGGGGGAAATCCTAATTTGATAATTGATAATCAACTTGATAATTACGTAAGGATTTACATAGATGGTAGTAAACAGAGAGGCGAAAATGACTCGGTTGGAGTTGCATGTTGTTGTCCTACAACACTACAACTCAACATTGATATTAAAATTGGTATTGATAGGAACGCATCTATTTTCACAGCTGAGAGTGCAGCACTTGATGAGGCTGTCAAAATAGCAGTTTCGAAACTCCTGTGAAATACGTTTGTACAATCGTCGAAATATTATCCATGTTTCACACAAATACACCTCATCAATCTCATTAATCTAACAATCAATTGGAGGGGTTGGTACAATGATGGTTCGACGCATTTGGAATGTGCAGAGATAATAATAATAATAATAATAATAAAAATCGATCATGGCACATACAAGTACAAACAATTCGGAACCCACCTGTGCGATTTCCGTCTATTACTAATTCATTCAAAATTTTATAAGGGGATGAAACATAGACGGGGGTTGCTAAATATTTAAAAAAAGGACAATTCATACAAGTACTATTGACGCTAACTTCATGCCCATAAAATTTTTTTCATTCCCTATAATTTCGACGCTGCACGATTTTACTCCCATCCCTTACGTGTGGGGGTGAGGGGTACAAACAAAAATAAATACGGTGCAATTAGGTACTCAATGAGTACAATCGCATAAAAAAAAATTTCCAACTTCGATGACAACTTCACATAGCTGCTATCTATGGGTATTTTCGAAAATCCATGCTTCTTTTAATTCGTATACATCAACTATGAATCAATTTTTAACTCAATCGATCAGAAATTAAGGCAGTTGAACGATTTTTAAGGTTTAGACTTATAAGTTGACCCCTTTCGATCCCTTGTGCACCTTGAAAACCTGCAGACTTTCCTTGTTCTCTGTTTCCAAGACTCCTAACAACTCGGAATATCCTCCATTGATCTGTTTTTACAGGTGATTCTGGGACAATGTCATTTCCGCCCTTGGTGAGCTCGACTCCACCTCCATTGGATCACAATTTCCGAGAGTCCGATGACGATGACGAGTTTGGAGATTTCGCTGCAGGTGCACTTGACGGTAATAATTGATTCCTAAATTTCATCTCAATTATTTACTGAATATCTCGGGAACTAGTGGATTTCGAGGAAAATGTCGGAGAATATTCTTATAGGAATTCGAGTTCTCTGCAAAAAATGCCTCCTGAATTTTTTTTGATGACTCTATTGGCTTCCAAGATACTTCATTTATTCAATTTATTCCATTTTTAGTTTAAGACTAGCTCCCTGCTCGCTCCGCTCGCCAATCCCCATATGACTCTCATGATCCTTTTTCTGACCCTTGTGACCCTTAATCTGACCCTCGTGACCCTCGTTATACCCTTCGTCAGCTTTATTTTGACCCTTAATTTTGGAGTCTTCATTTTGAGTAGCAAACTTTCATCGCCAGAAGTCGATTTAGATTTTTATAATATAGGGGGATATAGAGACCCGTATTTTGATCCTTGTGACCCTTAGATTCTGAACCCTAGGACCCTTATTTGGACCCTTAATCTGACACTTGTTACCCTCATTTAGACCTTTAATCTGACCCATATGACTCTTATTCTGACCCTTATGACCTTTAATGTGATCCTCGTGACACTTAATTTTGAGTGAAGCAAATTTTCATTGCCAGAAGTCGATTTAGATTTTTATAATATAGAGAGAAATAAGATAATCTCAAATCGTTTAAGACTTTAGTTATTATACAGCGTTCGTAAATAATATTTTTAAAAAAATAAGATATCCAAAACACTGAAAATGTTTGATAATAGGAAATTCATTAGTGCATTAATGGATACGTCTGAATCATAAATCGACCATCACGCAGGATATTTTTTAATCCAGTCTATTTCTAATTTGAATTTAAATGATCACTTTGTCAATCTGTGATAGCATTTACAATGAAATTTAAATCGTGAAGAGTTTTAACGATGGAGACAATTTTAAATTTTCTGCTGATTATATTTCTGACATTTTGAGATACATTTTTTCCATTTTTAAATCAACAGCAAAAATTTTAATATGATTGAAGATTCTTCCACGAATTACATTTGAAATAAAGTAATTATCGAATTCATGATTAATTGCTCCACTAAGAATAAACAAGTGGAAGTGGGAAGACGAAAATGAAGTAAAATAAAATGAAAACAAGAAATATCATTCTATTGATAATAATAATAATTCTAACCAATGAAATAATTATATATTATTAATGATTGTTCCATGTAATCTATTTTTAAAAACAGATTGAATGAATACAATAAAATAAAATCAATGAATACATACTATTAGTTGGATAATGAGCAATTACTTGATTGTTTTGTCCTCAGGGGGTCATCTTACCCGAGGACTCAATAAAAGCGTTTAGATCTTTTTCTTATTTCAATATTTTTGAACAATTACAGTTCAAATTGCATATATATTTCGCATTATGAAAATGAGCCCATGTGAATTAGTTTCAGATGCTGTGGTAGCTTAGAACTATTAACAATACACTTCAGATTTTTATGGAACATTTGAGAAGCAACTCGTTAATGATAACAAGAGAGTTTTTGTCGAGTCTAATTAGAAATTTTCGAGCATGATATGGTGGAGAAAATTTTTGGTTCATAAGTTTTTGAAATATACTTTGTCTGGAATCACCGTACAGCGGGGGAATTTATATCTTCTATCTATCTAACAGTGTATCTCCTCCCCAGGCTCTTCAACAACCTCAGAATCCCCCCAGAAGCTGTTGACACCACTTCAAACCCCGGTATCATCAGTGGCTCCATCGCCCCGGGTAAATGGCACCACCGATTACTCACCATCTCCAAAGCCCCCCACAATTGACCCCAAAAAAGACCTCGATGACGACATAATAATAACCGTTGAAAAGACTAACGACACTGTGAGCAGTATAAAGCTAGACAATAGAACTAGTGGTAGTTTAAAAGATAACGATTACGATTCCACCAATATCGAGCCTAGTGATACCTATAATAACGTTTCTAGCCCCGACAAGAGGAGCTTCGATCATATTCTCGATGACAAGTCATCTGAGAATGATATCGACAAGAAAGACATTGATTTGCGATTAGTTACGAGTAGCAATAGCAGTAGTTTAGCTGATAGTTGTTTCAAGAGTGATTCCTCCACGAATATCGAGGCTAACGACGACGTGGAGCCCCTGAGTCTGGTCCTAGACGACCCCACAACATCTGGGGATCATCAAGACCAGCCTGACTACCAGGGGAATCCCAGACCTCCAGACCTCGAGGACGACTTCTACGACTACGACAAATTCAACAATTCCCTGGAGTGTGATTACGACTCGAATAATTGTTTAAAAAACCCTGCAGACTCCCCCCAGGACGATGATCAGCATCTGCAGGATCACAGGACCCAGAAAAGAATTCCCGAACCCTCAGAGGACATCTTTGGAGACATAACTTCGGAATTCTCGACCTACCTCATCAATTCTCATGGGAATAACGAGTTTGTCCATCATTTCACGATATCTGAGGCTGATGGGGATCATGAGAGGGTCCTGGAGGCACCTGTCCATCATCCTGATGACAAATCAAACGATAAATTTGCTCAATTTGATGTTGAGTTTTGTGGGAGTGAGAGAGTCGAGATTGTTAAGAGTGTAAATAATAATTTGAGCGTTCAGGGGGAATTTCAAGATGATTTTTGTGATCATAGGGGCGGGGAGGAGGGGAGGGGGGCTGGGGGAGAGACAGTTGTTGAGGGGGAGGAGATTAGCACGAAAAAATTGGATTTGTTGGGGGGATTGGAAACTTTGGAGACATCATCGGGGGCTGGAGACGATTTAGAAAGCTTTTCGAGATTCAGGGAGGGGGAGAGTACCTGCGCGAGGATAGGGGAGGGGGAGGGAGGAGTTTCTGGGACTCTGGGGAGAGAGGGGAAGAGTGGGGGCGATGGAGATGAGTTTTCAGAGTGGGAGTTCCAGGGGGACGACAACTTCGGGGACTTTGCTGATTTCTCCAGTGAATCTGTGGCTCAAGGACAGAGTGATTGGGGGAAGGATGCGCAGGGAACTGGACTGGTGGCCGGTGATGATGGGGGGGATGGTGATGATGAGTTTGGGGACTTTGGATCCTGCCCGGCTCCTGTAGAGGAGAATCACGTTAGTTTTGATTTGAGAGAGTCTATCTGTCGGATAGATAATAAGAATGTGAGTGTAGTTTTTTTTTAAGGAATTAAGACCTGGATGGACTAGCTTGGAGACGTTATCTCGATTGTTTTTCCGTGTGAATAATCTAAAATATAGCGGAGTTTCTATTGATTGAATTTTACATCACGCAGGAGTCCCTAAAAATTATTATTGTACAATATAAAACAGAAAAAGACTGAACATTTTTAAAGGGCGGTTTTAATGAAGATTAGGGAATCAGTTCGATAGAGAGGAAATTGTAAACGGATAATTTACCATGGCAACTAACGATTTTACAGGCATTGGCTACTGTGACAAATGACAACTCAACAGCCGTTAGATACAGGAAATTATTAATTTGCAATTTCAAAATCCCTCTTTGAAAATGTTGAGTTTCTTTCGAAGTTTTCTGATTGTTCAATCATAATATTTGGAGACTCCAGGGCCATGTAAAACTGATTGGCAGTTGAAGAACATTTCAGATTATCAAAGTAAAAAAAACAACCAAGATCACGTTCAGAAGATAAGACGCGAACGTTATCTCAATTGTTTTTCCATCTTCATAATCTAAAATATATCATAATTTCCATTGAATCTAACATCACGTCCCTAAAATTATGATTATATAATTTAAAAAAGTAGAAGAAAACCGAACATTCTCAAAGAATGTTTTTAATAAGATTAGGAAATAAATTCGATAGAGAGGAAATTGTATATAGATAATTTATTATGGCAACTAACGAATTATTAATTTGCATTTTCTTCCCCATTAGGTTTCCAATTGGGTTCCCAATATTATTCAAAAACGCCATTTAAAAATGTTCAGTTCCTTTTAAAGTTTTTTGATTGTTCCATCATAATTTTTAAAGGCTCCAGGGCTATGTAAAACTGATTGGCAATTAGAAAACATTCCAGATTATCAAAATAAAGAAGAAACACCCAAGATCACATTCAAAACACGCGGGCCTTAAATTAGTTAGCTACAAGTAGATGATTTTTTTCTGCAAATTAGAAGAGAAGCTTCAGCTGGAACAAGCTTTTTCAATTAATGTAACTGCATTCTAATTGAAATTATTTTTGGAATTATGATTATCAGTAGAAGCTGTAGATCTTCGTAATTAAAAATCGAACAGCCTTTGGATTCAACATTTCAGGATTTTGAAAATTAATCTGCCATTTTTTATTGTTTTGGTGTATCTCTAGGTTGCTAATAAAATTGAGGACATAATTCTGAATATGTTTCCAACGGTTCCCGAGCCCCGTCCCGTGGATGTGGCGACCTTGATAGCAGGAGAGGACGTCATTTGGAGTTCCCTGAAGAATATCGAGGAGACGAATGCCTTGAGCTACCAGTGGAGCAACAGTGCCAGTAATAATGCACTTCTGGGGGCTCTGGGGATCGACTCGAGGAATATTGTGAGTATTCCACACGTAGAATTTATTCTATTCAGTCTAGAGATCGTCAAAAAGACGATCAGTGGGAGAGTGAGGGAAATTGTTCGATTATTTTACATTTTTCTACAGCTATTCGGGCCTAGATGGAATCCAAACATTCCGAGATTCGCAGCGAACCTGGGGTATGCTCCCTTGGAGCCCATGAAAGCATCAAGCGCTGAGGGACATCCGTCAATAACGTCATCCTCCAGTAAATCCCAAAACTCAACAAATTTGGAGGTGAATAATTTTGATATAGTATTTTATATAATAAATCGTATCTGTGGGGAAATGAGGTGTAAAGAAAAATCCTCAGGATTTTTTTTCCAGGACATGAATTCTCTGCAAAAACATTTTCTCAAGTTTTTTCTATAAAACCATTAGTTTTAGTGATATTTGGAAAACACTCTGTGATAAAAAAAAAAAATCTATAATTTATGAACGAAATATTTTGCAATTATCTATAAAGAATACGTTTAGAAAAAAAGCTAAAACTATTTTTGTAAAGAATTTCTTAAATATCATCATCTGAATATCTCCATGATTAAGAGATTTAGAGAGACATGTCAAAAGACTTTTGCCTTCGAATGCAAACTTTGTATTTGTCCGTCTTTTTAGAGTAGAATTCAATTTATTTGAATTACAACAACGGATTTTCGTAAATTTTAAATCTAATGAAATTGAATTGAAGTTACACAAAAATTGAAGATCTATTTATTTTGGAGATATTTTCAAAGTACTCTGTTCAATAAAAATTTATATACGAAATATGTTGCAATTATCTAAACCCAATTTTTTTTGTGGAACATTTAATTTCCTACGAAAAAGTTCTGACATTTGTCTTAAACCCATTCATTCCAGAGATCTTTCCAAAACAGGATAACTCAAAAATTATAAAATGCTTTTTGGAGATTCCTCATTCCTTCCAAATGTGTCGGATAACTAATAACAATTAATAATCATTAACTGTTAATTCAGGAAGTACCAGCTGCTCAATTCGACTGGAACAGCTCAGGTCTCGTGAACCCCCTAGACGCAAGTGAGTACCCCAAATGCTACCATCAATCTCAAATGAAAAACCAGTCACTGAGAACAATATCTAATAAGATATTTTCTGTTATTGATTTATCACTTTTCTCCTCCCTGCTTATCCTCGGCTTAATTTTTCCATTATTATCGTTTCACCTGTATATAAACCCGGCGATAATGATTATTATCAAGGTGGTGGGCTGTCAGCACTTCTGCCACTAGATTTATTGTATCCATTTGATCCTTTACTCACCACTCCCCATTGTTCCGGGCACTCCGAGTCCTATCACCATCACGCTGCTTGTACCAGGAGCTCGATATATTACTGTAAGTGGTTAACAGCTAATTAACAAATACCCTAGGACCTCTGACAAGGTTTGGGGGTAATTATTACGATCATTCTGCATTGAAGTGGTGAAAATAAATGAGTTCAGGGCCGTTTGTATTATCTTTCGACGGTGATTTTAATTGTTTTTTTTTTATTTTGACTAGGAAAGCGCATAATTGGCTAGTGATTATTGCATATTATTTTGGATCATTATGTATTCGTTTATTCACTAAAAAGGAGTTAATGTCCGCTTTTATTATGTTCAGATTTGAGAAGAATTTTGAGAACTGATCTTTAAAAATTTTTACGATGAAAAAGTCACGTTATTTATGAAATTAGGTGCATGTGTTTTTCAAGCCTGAAAATGTAAGCTTTTGCGAAGAACTATCCACCAATTTTCACGATAAAAATCAAATTCCATTTGTTTAATCTATTAAATACGTTATATTGAAAAAAATGCACAGAACTGCGGAATTTTTCAAATAGAATCGGCGCAGGACTAATAATTTTTCGCCGAATCTATTCCAATCGTTTCCATTCATTTCCAAATCCTTCCACTTTCTCAGTCATTAACGGTCATAACAGCAATTTTAATTAGAATTGAAAAAGGAAAGAATCGAGAGAAAAAACAATTCTTCCACTTTTTTCCAACGTTTCGAGTGTCCTTTATACGGGCGTTCATTTATTCTATTTATCAACCCATTAGTTATTTACAAATTGTGACAAAAATATATTAAACCAAAGAAATCTGAAAATTAAAAAAAACAACAGTAAACAGACACGTGTCGGAGCCCTTCATAACTGTCACAAGTTACAAAGATACAAAGACCCTCGAAACGTGGGCAAATAGTGGAAGAATTATTTTTTCTCTCGATTCTTTCCATTTTCAATTCTAATTAAAATTGCTGTTAGGACAGTTAATGGCTGAGGAAGTGGGAGTTTTTTGATAATAAATTTTCAGTAAAAGTTTGATAGAAATTCATAAGAATCTCCTAGTAAATTCCCTACATTTTTCTAGGAGAGAGTGGGGCAAAATGAAACAGTCGAAAAATGATTGTTTGGCGCAATTCAAGTAAAAAAATTTTTTTTGTTAAATATTTTTTTGTCAACTTTTGTTTATCAATTCTTTTTATTCTTGAGAGTACTAATCTGAATAATAATTTTCCATTCATTGGAATGAAAAATTATTGAGAAGTTTTAACGGGAGAAGATTTTATCAATAGGTTAATTGAAAAAAAAAACGAAACAGCAAAATCCAAAGTCCAGAGGAAGGCCCAGGGGGAGACCCAGAGAGCGGAAAAGGAAAATGTGATGCTGAATTTCAATCGAATGAAAAAATGAAGGTGTAATCGACCTAATCTAATCAATTAAATTATAATCAATTGAATTATAAGACGAACAGAAAATTATTATTCTCAGCAGTACCCCCAATAATAAAAAAAATTATAAAAAAAAATTAACAAAAAAAAATTTTTTTTTGCTTGCATTGCGTCAGTCATTTCTCGAGTGTTTCATTTTGCGCCACACTCTCTTATACAATTTTTTGTGTTTTTATGTGTTACTAAAAACCCATAACTCATTTCTGAAACACTTTAAAAGCAGAAAACCGGGCATCACCCCCAGAAAATTCCCCCGCAAATTCTCCACCTCTAACAATTTTTCTCTTCCCTTAAGATCCTGGGGACTCCCCCATCGACTCTCCCGCAGAGGCTGGACCTCTGAAGCACCCGAGACAACCCCAGACATCCAGAATAATCGAGCCCCTGCCCGGACCCAGTACAATCGACTGGAAGAAGAAGCCCAAGGCGTCAGAACTGAAGGCTGACCCCAGGATCTCCTCTCAGAAGCTCCTGAAACCCCAGCAGAAGCCACTCCCAGTGAATTCCACCCCCAAAGTAGAACCGAACAAATGTGATATCAAGTCTGGAGATCGCAAGGGATCTCTGGTTAAGAGAGATCCAGAGCATACTGTCCTCGACAGATATGGGAGGCAGATGGTTGTGAAGCCAGAGACTGTTCAAGTTCTCAAACAACTGCCCGATCTCTCGTTTCTCAGTGCCAGAACTTTACTCTTCAATCCTGAACAGAAGCAGATTATTCAGGATCTTGGTGCTATGATCAATAGGAAGATGCCTGGCTGAGTAACGTCGGTCTGAATGCGTGTTTGAAGATCGGTTTATGATATTGAAGATTTTCTTTGCGAATTGAAAGACAAAATTTAAGAGGAGACTACTATGAGTTAAGTCGTGGGCTATTGGAGTGAGATTTCTCACGCATTGAAGATCAATTATATATGTTTAAAAACGCATAATTAGCGCAAAACAGTAATTGTTTATTGTTTGTTTACCCCGCAGACGCTTAAAACGTTAAAAACAGTCCAGGGCCTCCAATTTTTGAGCTACAGAGGTTGTTTTTTTTGTTTTGTTTAATATAAAAATTTGCGCCATTCATGTAAGATTGGCAGAAAAATTATCCTTCAAATGTTTAAAATACATTCTCGATTCTTTTAGAAAGATTTTTCGGACTATTTTACATAAATGGTATAATTTTTTATTTGAAAAATTACGAAATTGGCTGTGTAAGAGTGGAATTTTACAAAACTAATTCGTAATTATTACTGCACACATTTTTTTAAAAATTAAAAAAAATTCTCTGTAGCTCAAAAATTTTTAAGCCCTGAACTATTTTCAACATTTTAACTATTCGTTTTTAGACACATATAATTAATCTTCAATGTATGAGAAATGTCATTCCAATAGCCCGCGACTTTTAAAACTCATAGTAGCCTCCCCATAAGAAAAAATTCAGTACTGAAGTGATAGATGATGAGTAGGACCGGAGACTTCATTCAGGAAACGGTCTGGTAATAAAATTGCTAAGCAACCAATGCACAGTTACCTAGCAAATTTTTTTACCAGATTTTTTATTAAATGAAGTCTCCGGCCCTATTGACAAGTTGTCTTGAGGATGAGAGTAAATATTATTTGCTTCCCAATGGAAGCTTTGTAATCATTCAAATTTAAGGTTCCAAATTTTTTTATTAGGGAAACTATAAATGGTCCACCAACTTACTCAGGCGTTAACAGTCATGACAACAATTTTAATTAGAATTGAAAAAGGATAGAATCGAGAGAAAAAAACAATTCGTCAGTGCAGTTCAGTTTCTTCAGTTTTTTGAGGATGAATGGAAACGGTTGGAATAGTTTCGGTGTAAATGTGGTCTAACAAGTTCAAATATGCGCTTTTTAAATAATCTTTGGATTTTTTTTTAAATTTTTGTACCGGAGATCTATCGAATTTCATGATTGTTTTCATGAATATCGACTTTACTAAACTCTATCCATTGATACCAATTCGAATTAAATTCATCATAAAGACCCAAAAAATTTGCTATTTTTATAAAAATTGATTTGTCAATGATCACCCAAAAAATTGTTATCAGAACGGAATGAATCGTGGCTTTAAAAAATGATATCAAAATACTCTTGATTTTATCAGAATATGATGAGGATCGCACCATTTTTTTGCTGAGTTACCGCATATTGCTCATGCGATTTGAAAGAAAAAATTGTTTTTTTTTCGTACGAATCATCAGTAATATGCATTAAATCATGAATCTGATAGTTGAGTATCTGATAGTTGAATAATGATCAAGATTATGTTTTTGATATTCTAAACTTGCATGAATTGGCAGCAGTCTAGAATCTAGACTCTAGATGAAGAATTCACTTGCAAAATTGGGAAGATTTCTGAAAATTTCATCTGTGACCAAATGAATTGTTATTTTCCAAATTACGTTAGTAATTATTACATTTTAGAAACGAATATAAAAAATGGTTGTTAAAAATTCTTTCAGTTACCAAAAAATCACGTCATTTTCAGTTAAAATCCCATTTGTTAATTATCACATTAACTATCTATTTTAGAGAAAAATAAATTGCTTTAGAGATGAATACATGATAATACTTCAGTACTGGATTTTTCTCCATAAGTTTTCTTCGTAAATCTTATTTTTGTCTTTTAATTCCGTCAGAAATTCGAGAATTGAATTGTATCAGTGCATTTTGTGAGAGAGGGTTCAGAGAGAAGAGACAACATCCCAATATCCGTTTCAAACCTGTGTTCAGACCAATCAAATAAAATGATCAAATCTGTGCTGAAGTGATGGTAGTAAATGAGTTCATCAACCACTTTTATACCGATTATTTGAAAAATATATCACGATTATATCGAGAATGTCGAGAGACATTCTCTTATAGGAAATTTAATTTCCTACAAAAAATGTCTGCTGATATTTTTCGATAAACCCAATAGTTTCAGAGATATTCACCAAAATTAGAAATAAGAAAATGTCTGGGCTCATCCACTCCATAAATTCACTACTGAAAGTCTTTCCACGCTCTTCCCAAAGGTTCAAAACCAATTTTTTCATGAATATTCCTCGATGCCCACTGCACATCAAGTATTCGTGTGAGTTTATGCACATCACATTTAATTAACATTCCAATTTCGTTGATTTTTTTATGATTAAGAGCATCGAGAATAAGAGATGAGTGTTATATCAAATTTTCCAATTGTGTGATTCTATCGATATTAGTCAAACAAAAAATCATAAATGTTTTATTGGATTGAAGTGATTGCACTTGTCTCATTATTCAACTTGATCCAATAATACAATCGATTTTTACCCCATTTTTATTGTCAAAATACGTCGTGTCTGCCAGAGGGTTTTTGTAATTATCATTTTCGTAAAATCAATTTTTCTAGTCGACGTGTTTATCATTTTAGTTAATTTATTTCTCTCTCGTTGATTCATTATCTAAGTATAATGTATGATTCACTAATTATTAAGTCAATTAACGAGAAGAAAATTGAGAATGAAAATGATCAAAATCAAAGAGAAATCACTCAGTCGTGATAATTCAGAGGTGAAGTGGTAAATTTTCCTCAGCAAATCCTCAGATCCACTGATCCACTGATTTTCCTCAGTGGTAAATTTGCTGAGGAAAATTTACCACAAAACATTTGACAATTTTTTCTAGAATCATTTATTGATGAGACGGTGGAAAGACCATTATTTAGTACAATCCAAGATTTTTTTTTCGTTTTTAATTGAGGGTCAAATGAGTCATGAAACCCGTAAGATCTATCAACCCCTGGAAATTATAAAATAATTGTAAAATGTCCGGAAACTGAGGCTCAAATGAAAGCTCTGATGTTCGACTACAAAAGTATAGAAGCCTTTCACCGAAGAATAAATAGCCAAAATACTTGGATACGCTTAAGGCAATTGGCCCACAACTCCAAACGTTCTCAAGGATATTCAAGTACTTTGGCTATTTTTTCTCCAGTGGAAATGCTTTTCTACTTTTGTAGTCGGACATCAGAGCTTTCAATTGAGCCCCATTTGGCACAATGTTTCCAGACATTTTATAATGATTTTATTATTTAAACTTTGCAGGTCTGAAGTTGAATCTCGACATTCAACAGTTAGAAAATATTTTACAAATCTGAAAGAAAATTAGAAAGGTTACTTTTGGAAGACGATTAATGAAATAATTAAAAAATTACAATTTGTGAAAAGCACTTTCTATAAATAATTTATAAACAATCAATTTTTGACCATAAAAATAATTTGTTCGGAATCGTAATAAATTTATTCATTTAAAAAAATTTATCAGAAATCTATTTCATGCCTAAAAAAATTAGATTTCCGAAAATTGAAGCAATTTCAATTATTTATTTATAAACAACGCTGAATATCCATGATTTTTTTTTTCAAATCTCTATCACGCAATTTGATTGACAAATTTGATAATTGAAAATGGTTGAGTCTATAGTGTGGTCTGTATCAAACTTTAAAAGATACTTGGATATTCTTAACGGGTGACCGCTGTGAAATTTGAAATTCTCTGAGTATTATAGAGACGATTGTAAAAGTTTATAATATGTGTTGTAGGTGAAGCAAAAGTGGAAAGAAATCGAACTCCGAGATTTTCGGAAGGTTCTAAAGGGTCAAAACGGGTCAAAATGAGTCAAAATCTCCGAAAACGTCCAAGTACCTCAATTTTCGACCGATTGAGCTGAAATTTGGGCGACACATAGTTTAGATATGCTCAAAAAATCCAAAGACGGATTTTAAAAATATTGATTTAATTATGTATTTTTTTTTCTCCTCAGTGGTATGCCCCAATTTATCATAATATGGCCAAAATTCAAGTTCATACTATCTTTAGAGGAGACCGCAGTGAAATTTGCATTTGTAATTCGTTTAGATAGTATGTACTTGGATTTGGTTCATATTATAACAAATTAAGTGATACCACTGAGAAGAAAAAATATAAATACATATAAAAAATCAATATTTTAAAAATCCGTCTTTGGTTTTTTTGTGTATATTTCAACTGTGTGTAACCCAAATATCAGCTCAATCGGTCGAAAATTGAGGCACTAGGACATTTTTGTAAATTTTGACCTGTTTCGATCGTTTTGATCGTCTCTATAATACTCAAGGACTTTCCAATTTCACCACGGTTTCCCCTTAAGGATTGTTTGACCCTCAACACGACCTGACCCTCAACTAAAAACAAAGAAAAGTTTTATGAATTGTGTAAAGATCGTTTTTCGTGGGGTTCCATTTTGCCTCGTCTCCAATAATAATAGTTTTTTGTTTATAAAGGAAAAAAATTCTGAATTCTACCTGGCCCCCCTCTGTTTTACTCTTTTACCCCTGATATTTACCAATAATTTCTCTCAATTAGTTAATTAATAAATTGATTGATCATACTGTTAAAGAGATCTCTGAAGAATAAACGATGTGATTACTAACACATGAAATTCATCACATTTTTTATATGAAAAAAACCTTGAAAATATTTTCTAATGCCCCGACTATTCAATGCTCCGCAGCTGGAATGTATTCATCAAGTAACAAAAAGTATTGAGAGTACTTAATTGTGTGAAAATGAAAAAGTGACTCCTAGCGTTTGTTCATTCATTTTGTAAGTGAATTCACTGCGTAGATTAATTGATAACTGTAATGGGAGAACTTCATTGATGATAATTGTTACGTTAATTATTTATATAAATGAATAATTGTAATATATCTTATGTAATATATTGTGGATATTAAGAACTAATAATACGATTAGGAAAATGTTGAAGAAGTATATTAAATAAAATCCTTTACGTAAAATTGTCTTCTCATTCGTCTTTCTTACAATTTTATTGTTACGATCAATTGATTTTACGTTATAAATCTTCAATTTTTCTTCGTTCTTGCCAGAGGTTGGCACAAATATTATTTTCACCAATATTTGCACCGCAAATACACATTTATTGCTTAGTCAATAAAGAATGAGTATTGAGAAATTCATATTTTTTAAACACC